CTCCCTGGTCTCTAAACTTAGGGAATTGATTATGTTTAGTCATTTGTAGAAATTCATATGTGAGAGGCAACAGGCAGCACTTTAAACCATGAACTAGTTGTCTTTGAATCAGGTTCCCCTTTATTCCCAATAAGATGTTATTGAAGGGGGTAGGCTTGGGGTAATAGCTATAATTATGTTCCTCAAGAAGCCCTGTGGTCAATGTACTTCTGGAGAATGACAGGTACTTTAATATTTCTAACATATTCATATTATTAGGTCTTTTTATAAACTAGTCTGTATTTTATATTTAATTAGCCAGTTGACTTAATAACAGATATATAATATATTCACTTATTATATGAGAAACATAAAGAAATATGCTTAAAAGAAATAGAATAAAGAAATGCAGTTTTTTCTTTCATTGCTAGAACCAAATCCAGGGCCTATACATACTAGACAACTGTTTTATTAACACTAAACAATATTCTCAGCCATTAACAAATACTTCGTTGGTTATTTTATAAGACAGAAACTATCAAAGCAAACTAAAAATGTACTAAATGTTATGCTACTAACTAGACAACTGTGAAAAATAATTAACCATCCTTAAAGGCTTTGCTACAAAAAGTGGTACCAAAGATTAATTAACCTTTTAAGTTACTTTCAATAGTCATGTATCTATGTCTTTATAAAAACACTGTAACTAAATTAAGACTGTCCTTGACTCTTAAGGCTATTGTATACCTTCCACAGTATCAGTCAATGTGGAGTATCAATCTATGGTTTTAGGTGTTCTGTAATGGTTAAAATTCCTAGTTTGGGATTGAAATGACTCTTGCTTTAAAACCAGTCCCTTTTAGTTAATATTATCACAATTGTGGGCGAATGATGATGTTTAATTCTGACTTAATTTTTCTATTACAATATGCTGCTAAAATATTGATTCATATAGACATCATTAAAATTAAAACCCCAATATGATATAAATTGCTCTAGTGCAATCCTAAATCTAAACTCATGACACAATAATTTAAATATTCAAAGCCATAAATTAATATGGTTCTTCCTGAAGGACCATGTTTTTAAGAGAGCCTGACAGAATAATCGTCTGTAGCTCAATTTCTGTACAGATGAAAGCCTGTCTCCCCCTTTTTGTTTGTAAGACATTATCAGCATACTAATGCTCCCTCTTACCATCCTGTAACACTGACAGGCTGGACGGTGGGTACAAACCTATCTAAGCGCTGATGAAGAACACAGTCTAGAAGCCCAGACTCCAAAGGTTTGAACAGCATCACTCATCTACCACATCTTCTCAACATCATTATTACTGGCTAGGTGCTGGTAGTTCACACCTGTAAGCCTAGTTACTCAGGAGGCCGATCAATGTCTGAGAATTTTGGTTTAAAGCCAATCCAAGCAGGAAAGTCTGTGAGAGTCTTATTTCCAGTTAATGACCAAAACAAAAAAAGCTGGAAATGGTGCTTTGACTCAGGTGGTAGAGTGCTAGCCTTGAGCAAAATATCTCCCTATACAGTACCTGGGCTCTGAGATCAAGCCCCAGAACAGGCACAAAAAATATTTACTGAAGTTCTTCATATCCACTACATGCTGTCCGTCCTTCAACAATGAGATGTAAAGCATGACAGTTTAAAAAATAGAAAATACTTGAAGATATAAAATGAGCCTTAAAAATAGAGAATTGGCAAACATTCTACAGTTATCAGACAAAGAATTTTCATAACTGCAAATAAATAAATAAGTAAAATGATCAGTTAATCTTAGGCTATTTAGCCAATACTAATGTTTGATTTTATTTTATTTTAACCTGGGAGTATTAAGTGAAACTTCATTTTTTATCATAATCTCTCTATTAAAATTTATAATTACATGTTTATTTAAAACTTACTTATGTCATAATGTATTCTAATATTTTCCTTAATTCAGTATTGTTTTAACTAATTTGTATGTTTTATCACTTGTAATAGATGAATATGTGTCCCTAATTTCCAATATCTGTACTACTTCCAATTGTCCTAATTATAGATAGAGTCTACAAGTAATATAGTCTATGCCAACAATAATCAATCATCTAAGGTAAATGTTTAACTTATTTTTTTGATAGTGGGGATTGAACTCTGTCTTAAAAGACCTAGAGCCATACCTACGGCCCCTTTTTCCATATTATTTCTGAAGTAGGGTCTTACCTTATGCCCAGGCTATCCTAGACTCATATTTCCCTGTGTTGCTGGGTATAGCAAGCATGCCGCTGAGCCCAGCCATTTTGTTTCCCCAAAGCTGGGTTAACAGATAAATGTCACAGAATTCCATGCTGATCAAGCAGTTCCAATTACCAGCTTGACTTTTGCTCTTCTATTTATCACTGTACTTTTATTTGGGAGGTCTCAATATGTATCTCAGGTTGGCCTTCAACTCATCATTCTCCTGCCTCCACTACAGGGCTAGGATATACAATACAATCAACACACCATAAGATTCAGTGTAAATTTACCATTTAACATCCGATTCCACAAGCCGTTTTTACCTTCATAAATTAAATCCAATGGCCATCAGTCATTCTATCACATCTTAGAAGAAAAAAATAAAGTTGTCTAACTGTGACAAAATTACCTGTGATTGCCAGGATTGTGATTTCTCTGTTTTGTTCTGCTGCTGGCTACTTCCTAATTTGGGGATCTAGGAAAAGTTATGTCATGTAACTGAGTCTCAATTTTCACCATCTATTAATAACGATAAATTATCCTTGGCTGATAGAACTACGTTGAGTAAAATGTTTGGAGCAAAGTCTAGCATGTACTCATTGTTCAATAAAATGTAACCAGCTTTGTCATTTACATGCGGATTCTATGATCTTTATTTTCATTATATTCTTCTTTTCTTCTTTCTTTCATTCTTCTTGGTCATTTTATCCAAACTGTACATCCTAGACTACTTGTATATGTATCCAGGAAAAAGAAAAGCTGAACTGATTAGGTATAGATCACACATGAGTAATTGGCTTTTTATGAATTTTTAATGTTCTTCTCAGATTTTAAGCTGGAATGGAATCCATGGTTAACATGTGCTTGCTGTTATCTCATGTTCCTTATTCTTTTTTTCAAAGACTAGGATTCTCCTAAAAGGAAACAGATCTAAAACACTGTAAACATAAACTGTATGAAATGCTCAAGGTGGTATGAGGCACACAGTCCATAAAATCTAGTTTAAAATCACCACAAGAATAAGAACAGCAAGTTGATTTGTGACTGTATCTGTGTGTGTGTGTGTGTGTGTGTGTGTGTGTGTGTGTGTGTGCATTTCTTGGATATGCGTTCCTGGTGGAAGCATCATTGAAATCTTAGCAATAAACATCATGTGCTTAATACATTTAATATCAATTATTCATTTTCATGGAAATACAAGCATGAGAATAAGGGTATAATCTTATTTTTACAAATATATTTCTGAGCAATGGGTTGATGAGAACTATGTTAGAATAAAACCAAATTTTGAATATGAAGGCATGGACTATAATAAACAAATGAATGTAAAAAAATCAAATATGCTCCTAAGAAGATTTAAGTCTTTCTAAATATTTAGTGGAAAATACATATCTAATAAAGAAGGCTTTCTAATGAAAAATGTCAAATGAACACAACAATATGTGAATGATTCCAAAAGAGTATAACCATGTTTAGGTAAATTTTTCCTTTCAAATTAAATTTGGAAGGCAAGCACTCTACCACTGAGCCATCTAAATTTGCTGATAAAATGGAGGAATTATTAATAGAAAATCATATAATCTATAACTTCTCACAAAAAGAAAAAGTAACCCATGTGTGACTGAAAATATTTGATTACCTAAATTATTAAATATTTTGCTTGAACAGAAAAAAAATTGAGGTAAAAATTTTCACAAGCCACCTTTTATTTTCACTTAAGACTGAAACTTTCCTATGTTGAAATTATCCAAAACAGATTTTTAAAGTATGAATGTCATGTGGAATCACAACAAAACACTAGTATCCAGAAAAGTACATTGTGTACATTTTACATCCTCATATGCCTTCAAAAGCAACTGTTTCTACTAACAACATATGAAATACAACCCCTACTTTTTTTTAGCAGATTAATACTTTCAATTAAAAAGTTCATATTTGTACAATTGTGTCCATAATATTAGTACAATCTATCTATGATATGCTGAAGTTCTGTACTACCCATTTGCAAGCTGCCAGTTTGTTTATGCGTAAATAATCTTTTCAAATAAGTAAAATGCGTCTACATTTGTTGTATTTACTGACTATTAATACTGAGGCAAATTTTCAAAGGCAATGCAGTACTAGTATTTGGAGATTACAATGCTGTTCTACACATACCTTTTACATATTATTTGCAAGTAAGATTTATTGCAATTTCCTGTTTATGCAATAATCCTACACACAGTGCCACAGGAATTTACCTGATATGATTGTAGTCGTGGAAAGTCCAAAAGCATGATTACCAAATTTAATATACACAAAGAAAATTATCTTTAAATTACAGGTAATAATTTATTTATTTATTTTTGTCAGTCGTGGTCCTGGATGTGGTCTGGGCTTGGGCGCTGTCCCTCAGCTCTTCAGTTCAAGGCTAGCGCTCTACCACTTGAGCCACAGCACCATTTCCAGCCTTTTCTGTTTATGTGGTGCTGAGGAATCAAACCCAGGACCTCATGCATGCAAGACAAGCACTCTACCACTGAGACAGGTTAACAGCCCCTTAAACATTTATTTCTAAGAAAATATTTCCATTGAAAGCATTCTCGTATCACTAGGTATAAAACAGTATAAGGAAAGATAACAATGGATAAGCAAGGATGTTTGCATGTCATCCATATCTATAACCAATTTCATGATGTTAGTTTTTTCTATGGAGTTTAAATCATATGTCAAAATTTATATAAATCTATCTTCCTTCAACTCTTACCAAAGCCCCTAAAATCCCAACAAGAATGAGAAATATATACAAAAACTTACCCCATTTAATGGATATGTTTTCCATCCGAGTTCTCCTAGCACCGTTGTTGTATCAAGCAACACAACTGGAATTAAATAGATAAAACTTTCATGAATTTCTCAACTGAAGCAGAAATATATTCAAGTAAGAAAAAAAGACATTAAAAAGTTAAAGTTGTTGAAATCATGAATATTAACTACTTTACTAATATCATCACAATATCCTTAATAAATTGTTAAAGATATTTTTATATTAAATATTAGTATATAATGAATGATGATAAAAGGTCATGAAGCGATTAATTTTAAAATACTGAACTTGAATTTAGGTTTACTGATGTTGAATGAAGTAATCAATCATTTAAAAATTATTTTAATGTAGCAAGGTTTTATAACTAATGAGATAACCACACTGTTTAAATTTTTCCAACTTCCCTGTATAGTCTTTTCTCAAAATTATTAAGCTAGGCCTATGTATCTTATTTTTGTGTTATTAAATGCACTTATATCAAAATCAGCAGAAGAGGAAAACAATGCAGTTTGAATAAAACATTGTATCCAAAATATCGACTTCATTATTGTATTTGCTAGGTACTATGTCTATGAAATATACTACAAAACCACAAGCCACTTTTTTTCCTCCCACCAAAAGCAACTTATAATGTGACTTTTTTTAAATGGTGGGTGAACAAAAAACACATCTTGTTAAAGTTTACAATATAAAGCTTCATGTCATTGCAATTAAGCTAGCCTAAATCTGGGAAAGTTCCCAGAATGGATAAAATTTGAGCAAGACCAGGGTGAGTGGTTTTCAATCAGATGCCATTTTTCTCTTACAATGTTAGGTATAAAGTAGCTGAGATATGACAGTCCCTGAAGTTGTCTCCCAGATTAGGGATTATACAGCAGGAGTGATAGATGCAAACAGTGCTAAAAAAGACAGCTGAGGTTGAATTCTGGAGAGCTTTGTAAAGTCTCCCATAGGAAATACACCTCTGAAGACTCAGCAGGTCTATCTGTATAGCGATTACAACCATGACCATAGATGTCAGGAGGCCTAGAACAAACTCTGAGAAAGAGTGCTTTAGCACCTTATTATTGCTTGTAAGTCTTCATCTAGCTAAGTAAGCAGGGGGTTTTGCTTCTGCTTAAACATTCTGTGGTGAAAATATCATTTGCCATCTGCTCTATAATACCTTTTACAAGGATTCTGTGGTTGTCCTTAGTTGAATCACTATTATATGCCCTATTAATAAAAATAAGCAACTATTCTTAAATTTGTAGTAGTTATTTCATCTGTTAAAATGTGAAGAATTTATTCCTACAATAAATGCTTCATAAAAATGCAATATCTTATTTCACATTTTACAGGAACTACCTAATATCAAACATCAAGCCAGTTTTAATATTCTTTGTTGTCTCAATTTGTTTTAACAGGAAATCAAAATCCAAGTAAGACTATGCATTACAATTATCTAGCATCCTCTTTAAGTGTTTTGATCTCTCTTTACATTTTCAGCTAGAATTATTGAACGATGTTTTGCCTTCAATAAAGTTCACCTTTTGTAATGATTATTTCTATGAATCTCCATATCCATGTAAGCATTGTTTACATGAAAATTTTGAGTATTTTCATTATCCCCAAATACCTCTGACCAGCATTGCCATTTTCAAAATGTCAAGTGCCTGTAGCCCTTTGAGCCTGTTTTGTTTTTGTTTTTGTTTTGTTTTTGCATAGTTCATTTCTCCTTTCTCTGCAGGGCCCCATGTTTCAGTATTCAGTGGCTTTTTATTGATGAAAACAACTTCATTGTATGAAATTTTTTAGCTGACGAATATGTGAGCTGTTTCCAGTTGGGAAAATTGTATATACAGATATTGTAAACTGTAATGTACATTTTTTACTGAACCTATGTTTTCATTAAATCAGGGAAAATAGCTAGAATTACTGGGTTATATAGAAAATGCTCATTAAAAAAATAAAACTGTCCAACTATATTCCATGTGTAATTTACATTCCCAATAGTAAAATATGTTGTTGTTTTGTAGTTACTCTGTATATGACCTCTAGTGTCATCTTTTTAACACATGCAAATGTTTTGATCGTTCTAATAACATTTCTCTTAATGATGGAGGATTATCTTTTTCACATCTTGGAAATTTTTGTTTTGTCTCTGATTCTAAATTTTCATAAGTGAGTAAACTGGAGTATTTTGCTTTTTCAGTCTAAACTACTTTTGTTTGAAAAATAATCAGAGGATATTTCTCTTATTGAAATATTGCAATTAATGTATTGAGAATGAATGAGGGAATTAGGCCATACTACTTGTTATTTCCAGATGAATTAATATATTTAGCTAATAGATCCCCATGGATGCTAACATCACACACACACACACACACACACACACACACACACACACATACACACACACGGAACTGTTTAAAGTACTTCCTCTATAATTTGATTCCTCTACATTAGCATACAGTTCTGCCCAGCCTAGAAATAACAGAAAAGGTAACTAGAATGTCCAATGAGGAAGATATATACACCTAACCCACAAACAAAATACCATCTGACTTTATTCATGCAACAAAATAATCTCCCTTACTAAAAAGCAGAACATGAAATTCTGATAAGTGTCCAGATTCTTAAATGTTACTTGGTACTGAATAACAGTTTAAATTTCTGGAATATACTAAAGAATACAGTGGTATACAATATCAGAATCTATTTTTTGGGAACTGAAATATTTTATGTTATTTACAATATTGAAAAACCTTCACAGGCAGGAAAAAGAAGAAGTAATGCACAATTACTCTAGTAAAGAATTTGTGTTCTTTTTTAAGTAACTTCCACAATGTCCTGTCAGAGTTTTTCCTGAATGAAGACATTCAAATCATAGGATTTATTGTATACTATTAAAAATCTCTACTAGCTATTTAAAATTCTCAACATAGATTTCCTGCTTATAAATTGCAAATGCAATAATAAGACTCAAATGATCAGTTGATATAATTGTTATTCTTTAGGGGGCTTGATTTTTAATAGCCATAAAGGGAACTGTAATCATTATTTTATGTTATCTTTATTTTTATTTTTCCTGGTCCTGGGGCTTGAACTCAGGGCCTGGGAACTTTCCCTGACCTCTTTGTGCTCAAGGTTAGCACTCTACCACTTGAGCTTCAGCATCTGCTTTTTCTGCATAGTTTCTCACATATATTCTTGCTTCAAATGATGGTCCTTAAATCTCAGCATCCTGAGTATCTAGGATTAAAGGTGTGAGCCACAAGCACCTGACTTGTATTCATTAATTTAAAAAAGCATGCAGCTTCACAGGTGCAGATGCTTAAGGATCATTTTGTTGTTGTTGTTCTTTGGTAGTTACCAGAAATAATATTTGTTTTTTGTTTTGTTTTCATCTGAAATCATACAAAGAACAAGAAAATTTCAAATTTGCATTTCAGGAAATTGAATGGAACACTGATATTTTAAAAAGTCAAATAAATTTTGAGATCTTCTTAGATGAAATTATACATAGTAGATATTTTGATTTTATCATTTGTTTCATATATAATCCCCTCTCCCCCACCACAAATTCAAGTTTTCCAAGCAAACTAATTACATCAAACCCAACAAGGTGAGAGCTCCTCCTGCTGGTTTTAAACAATAGTTATTTTTTTTCCTATGAGAAGGGATAATACCTGTAAACCTAGCAGGAGTTAATGTAAAAAACGGACAAAGGAAAAATTCTATTGCCATTACCTTTAGTAAGGATTCAATAGATTTTCATTTTAAATTTAACAGGAATATTTTAAATAGCAATAATATTAGTTACTTTTAGAAGTGCAACTGAGAATATAATCATTTATTCATGTGAAAACGAGAAATTAGCCACAAGAATAATTAAATTTAGGCGTATCATATCAAAATAATACTTTGAAAATATATATTTTGCTTAATGAGCAGTAAAATGCATAGCATAAATCTTGGGAAATGTTGCATAATCTTCTCATTAACTTTTTAAACAATGGTAGCATATTCTATTTCTCTCTGAAAATATATTTTAACATTTTACTTCTTTAACATACTCTTTGGAAATCATAAGAAAATCACATTGTCTTTTAGCAAAAGAAATTTAAACAATGAACATAACACCAATTATATTGATTTAAATAAGAATTTATACATTCCTAAGTTTCAAAAGCTCAGTATTAAATTCTTGCTTTTGAATCATGTATTAATTTTGTTTGTTTTAGAGAATTTAAGGTAGACTATTTAAAAAACACAAGTACACTGATTTATAGTGTATGGCAAACCATCCTTATTCAAATGGAACAATAAAAAGTATCTTATTTTATGCTGTTTGTGAAAAGGTAATTAATTCATTAAAATTCCTCTTTTATGATAATTTTGTTGTAAGTATTCAAGTTATTATTACATGAACCAAATTCTAAAAATTTTCAATAGTCTCAAAAGTTTACATAAACATAAACACATAGTTGGGAGTTCTATTTAAGAGAATTCATGGAAAAGAAAATGCAAGATTTTTTTTATATTTTAAATTATTTTTTATTGTGAAAATACTGTACAGAGGGGTTACAATTACATGGGCAAGATAATGAGTACATTTCTTATCAAGCATTGTTGCCTTCTCCTTTGTTTCCCCTTCCCTCCCTTCCCATCTCCCCCCCCACACCAAAGTTATAAAGATCGTTTTCGACATAATAACTTGTACATCTCATTGTTGTAATGGGGCCACCGGTATCCCTATTTAAACATTTTTCTATAGAAGAATTTAACTTAGGACAGTAAAACCTTAATGTAATGTAAATTCCTGAGTCACTCATTTACAACACAGAAACAGAGGCCAATGCCACTGTTTCAGCAATGGTAACCTCCCTATCAACTCCCATTCTTTAAAAGTCAAGCACATAAGTAAAGGAAAAAAGATCAGATACAGTGAAGATACTTCAGTTATAGAAATAAGCATGCACTTGCATCCTCTCAATTGTAGAAGCAATTATTTGAATGTTATATTACTTAGATGCTTTAAACTGACTTTTGAGTTGCTAAGTTAACAAA